TTGTTAACCGAGGTGCTGGTGAGTGTAGAGTATCTTGACTTGTTAACCGAGGTGCTGGTGAGTGTAGAGTATCTTGATTTTTGTGCATGGAGGAGCAAGTAGGAGCTGCAGGGAGAATGGGTTCCCAACACTGAGATGGCTCTTGGCTATAGGAACCCGCTTTTTCACCAGACGTTAACAGGGGTAGGAGAGGCTTATTTCTCTAGAGTGGGCTTATTGTTCTAATATAAGCTTTCTCCTGTGTCTTGTGTGGGCTTCATTGCTACATGTTTTCAGTGGTGTCTTCTCCAGACTTTTTTTTTGGGTGGGGGGGGTAAGGGAGTATTGAAACAGAGCTAGAGTTAATTAAGTTGGAGATTGTTTTGTTTTTGAGAGTTTTTTTTGCTGTAGCTCAGGCTAGCCTGAAACTCACTGTGTAGCCCAGGCTAAATATGAACGTACAGTGGTATTCTTGCTGCAGTCTCCTGAGTGCTGGGATTACAAGCATTCTTCTGCCTATTTAAGAAGAATAAAAATTAATTTAGTGGGAGGCAGAGACAGGTGGATCTCTGTGAGTTCGAGGCCAGCCTGGGCTACCAAGTGAGTTCCAGGAAAGGTGCAAAGCTACATAGAGAAACCCTGTCTCGAAAACCCCCCCCCAAAAAAATTAATTTAGGCATGACTATTGGGACCATTTAGGCGAGAAGGGGCTGGTGCTTAGGAAAAGGACAGTGGAGTTTTCTCAAGAGAGCTGCCTCCTGGCGCACTTTGGGTCACTCTAATCCTGAATTTCTCATGGAAGCCCATTTCGTTCCTGTAGTTTTATGTCTCTTTATTGTTGCATTGGCCTTTCTGGCTAGTTCACAAACTCCCTGAAAAGAATTAGGCTTTATACTCTTCTGTCCACCACACTGTAGACTATAGTGTCGGTCATAGGAGCTACCTAACTGAAGTGCATTGGGGACTCAAATGCTGAAGGTATCTCGCTCCCCATTTACTTTCCTTGTTTAAGCTCCAGCTAGATTCCTTTTGTCAAGATTTCTGTTCGCCGGGCGGTGGTGGCGCACGCCTTTAATCCCAGCACTCGGGAGGCAGAGCCAGGCGGATCTCTGTGAGTTCGAGGCCAGCCTGGGCTACCAAGTGAGTTCCAGGAAAGGCGCAAAGCTACACAGAGAAACCCTGTCTCGAAAAACCAAAAAAAAAAAAAAAAAAAAAAAAAAAGATTTCTGTTCATCTTTCATTATTATGTTATTATTTCATGTGTATGGGTTTTGCCTGCATGTAAGTCTGTAGCACATGTATGCTTTGCCTACAGAAGTCAAAAGAGAGCTTCAGTCCCCCAGAACTGGAGTCACATGATTGTGAGTCAAGATAAGGGTACTGGGGATCGAACCCAGGTCCTCTAGAAGAATAGTCAGTGCTCTTAACCACTGAGCCGTCTTTATCACCCCAGTTTATTTTTATGTATGTGCCTGTGTCTGTATGGGGTATGTGCATGTGAGTGCAATATGAGTGGTGGCCAGAAGAGGGCATGGGATCCTGTGGAGCTGGAGTTACAGATGGTTGTGGGCTGCCTGACATGGGTACTGGGAACCAAACATTGCATGCTTTGAACCATTAGGCCATCTTTGCAACCCCCATCCCCAGCCATGATTCTTATCTGTTGAAAATGTCATGTTCCCACTATTAAACATTACTGCTTTTTGGTATGACTAGGCATTGAAAGAGTTACAATGCTGTGTTCTGTAGCCTGCAGGTTTCCCTAGATGATGAATAAACAGTCCTTCTGCCTGAAGAACATCTGTGGAAACCTTGACCATGGCATCGATATCAGAGCCTGTAACATTCCGAGAATTCTGCCCTTTGTACTATCTCCTCAATGCCATTCCCACAAAGATCCAGAAGGGCTTTCGCTCTATCCTGGTCTACCTCACAGCCCTGGATGTGAACGGAGACTACATTGCAGTGGGCAGCAGCATTGGCATGCTCTACCTGTACTGCCGGCACCTCAGCCAGATGAAGAAGTACAACTTTGAAGTAAGTCTTGCTTTTCTTTGCATCTGAGTGTGGGCCAGCCACAGCTGCTGTTTCTCTATTGGTGTTCTAACTGTGCAGCATGGGGCATTTTACCTTTGACTTGCTAGACTCTGGCTTCACACCTCACTCAAACAGTACTCCATCATCATTTCCAGCTGAGTAGTGTATAACTAAATATTGGTGCTTTTCTTTCCTCATCTCTGTCTTAAAATCTCTCATCACTTAAAAAAGAATATGTAATGTTTACCAGTTGTACTGGTCAGTGATGGCACATGCCTTTAATCCCAGCACTCAGGAGTTAGAGGTCAGCCTGGTCTATAGAGCCAGTTCTAGGACAGCCAGGGCTGCACAAAGAAACCCTGTAGTGCGATCCTAATTAGTCTTAATAATAAAAACTCAGAGTCAGATACCAAGGATGAAAGCTGAAAGATCAGAGAAGCAAAGGAGCAGCCACAGTCACCTCTTACCTCTCCGACTCAGACCTAAAAGGGGCAGAGCTCCTATCTCAGCCCCACCTCATCATTTCTCTCTGCCTAGCCATATCATTTCCTGTCTCCTGTCTGTATAGACCTCCAGATCTCTATGGTAATAAATGACACTACTAGCATTTGAACTTGGGCAGACTATCTAGTCTGTAGTAATAATTTTTGTTTGAGACTGGGTTTATAGCTTAGTAGTAGAGTGCTTGCCTAGCATGCCCACAAGCCACTGGGTTCAGTCCTCAGTACTGAAAACAACAGAACTGTTATAGGGACTAGAGAGATGGCCCAGTAGTTAAGACCTTTTGTAGAGGACCTGGGTTCTGTTTCCAGCACCCACATAGTGGTGCAGACCATCCCTAATTCTAGTTTCAGGGAATCTGATTCTCTTCTGAACTTCAAAGGGCACCAGGCACATGTGTAGTACACATATGTACATATAAGCAAAACACTTATATACAAATAATTAAATAACTTTAAAAGAAAAACTATTGTCTTCTTGTTTTTATTTAAGTAGGCAGTTCAAGATAACATCCTGATGTAGACCAAACTGGCTGGAATTCACGATGTAGCTAAACTGACCTCAAGCTTGTGACCCTCCTATGTCAGCCTCTTTTTTTTTTTTTTTTTTTAAAGATTTATTTATTTATTAAGTATACAGTGTTCTGTCTGTGTGCCAGATCTCATTACAGATGGTTGTGAGCCACCATGTGGTTGCTGGGAATTGAACTCAGGTCCTCTGGAAGAGCAGCCAGTGCTCTTAACCGCTGAGCCATCTCTCCAGCCCCTATGTCAGCCTCTTAATTGCTGGGATTGTTGGCAAGCACCACCATGCCCATTTCCCATCACTATTTATCTATCTATCTATCTATCTATCTATCTATCTATCTATCTATCTAGTGGATAATATTTCACAGATTTACCTGTTCAAGTCCCCCAAACGTTGAAGATCACTATAATTAATATTTAAAATGTAATTACAAATTTAACATATTAAATTTTTCTCAAATCTTTAAATACTTAACAAGGAAGACTTATGAATGAAAGATGAACCCTAGCAAAATAAACTGAAGAAGTTATTGTCAAAGACATAGGAACCAAACTGCTAAGGATAAGAAAAACTGTTAGGCTGGGCGTGGTGGCACATGCCTTTAATCCTAGCACTGGTATGGCAAAGCAGGTGGATCTCTGTGAGTTCAAGGCCAGCCTGGTCTACATAGTGAGTTCTAGGACAGCCAGGCCTATTAGAGAGACCCTGTCTCAAACAGAACAAACAAACAGAAAGAAAATTCTCAAAAATAGCTAGAAAAAAGTAACCTATCTCCTACAGGGGATGGTGGTTTGAATGACTGTCCATTCCCATTAGAAATCAGAAGGCAGTAGCATATATTCTGAAAGAACTACCCACTGAGGATGTTAGCAAACACTTGTTGTCTCAGCTACTTGAGAAGTTGTGGTAACAGGATCACTTCAGTCCCCAAGGTCGAGACCAAAGGACACAGCAAGACCTCTCTTAAACAAAACTTCCAAAGATTGCCCAGCCTTGAAATATCTATTATAAGCACAATGGAACTGAGTGTCATAGCTCACACCTGGAATCCCAGGACTTGACAGGCTAGACAGGCAGGGTACTGTGAATTTAAGACTAACCTGGGCTACTAAGTGAGACCCTCTTTCAAAAAAAAAAAAAAAAAAAAAAACCCACGGTATACCCAGATGGCAAAACCCTGTGATCCTTGCTTTCAGGAGGCTGAGGTAGCTCCTGAGATTGTTGAATTGGAGGCCATCCAGGTCTACACAGCAAGTTCCAGGCCAGCCAGGGCTATCCAGCAAATAAATAAATAAATAAAAGAGGAGTAAAAGGAGGGGAGTGAGAAACAAAGTTTTCTTAATGACAGAGGGAACACAGCATCAGGAATGAATGAAATGTTATAGTAAATTCTTAGGGAAATAAAATGGATTATTTGTTCTCTATTGAGTTCTTTAAGATATATTTGACAGTCCCCGAAAGCAGTGTGTGTAGATGTAGTCATATGAAAGACAGTTACAGCATGAATAGGGTGCTGCTATATGCTGCTAAGGTTCATACGTCCTATTTGCAGAGGTGAACTCTGAGAAGTATATATGAGCTAGGGATGTAGCTCAGTGGTAGAGCACATGTTTAGCATTTATAAGTCCCTACTGTGTGTGTGCCATGCCCCCCCAGTTAAATATGCATGTATTTGTAACCTCTTGAGCAACAGTTTTAAAAAACTACATAGACCAGTATTTACATAAGTGCAAATGATTCAAATATATAGAAGATAGAAATTGTCAGAGCAGATTCATAAAAAGATGAAAATGAGTCACAGAAGCATATGCCTGTTATGTGTGTGTGTGTGTGTGTGTGTGTGTGTGTGTGTGTGTGTTCCCTGAAGCTCATTGGCCAGCCAGAGGTTCAGTTTCAGTGAGAGACCCTGCTGAAAACAGAGATGATGAACTGGCAGTACAGTCCTCAGGTAAAGGCACTTGCTCCTTGGAACCTGTGCAGTGGAGGAGAGAACCAGTTTCCACAATTTGTCCTTGCACCTCCACTTGTGTACCACACGATGTGCTCACTCACACACACAATAAATATGTAAAGGTAAAGCAGTTTTTACACCCAACATCAACCTCTGAGGCTCTATGTGCATGCACACACACATGCACGCGTACCCACATGTGCAGATCTACACTAAAAGGTACATACACCACACATAATTTAACAAGCAAAGAGGGTGAAATAAATATAGCATTAGTTAGGAACTCAATTAAAATGCAGTAATACAAGTAAGTTAAAAGTAACAGGATAGGGCTGGGGAGATGGCCTAGTTGGGGAAGTACTTGCTGCACAAAGCAGGAGGATCCTGGGTCAGATCTACAGCACTATACAAAAAAGCCTCCAACTCTACCACTGAGGGCAGAGATAGAGGGATCTGGGGGACTTGCTGGCCGGCCAGCCAGTCTAGCTGAAAAGGTGAGCTCCAGGTTAAGCTGGAAATCCTGTCTTGGAAAATAAGTTAAAGAGTATGCTGGCTACTTTCATGTCAACTTCATACAAGATAGAGTCATTTTAAAAGAAGGAACTTCAACCAAGCAAATACATCTACTAGATTTGGCCTGTGGGTAAGCTGCCTTTTGGTGTTTTGAGACAAGTTTTTTTTGGTGTGTGTGTGTTTGTATGTGTGTAGCTCTGGCTGTCCTGGAACTCATTCTGTAGACCAGGCTGGCCTGTAACTCATAGAGGTCCACCTGCCTCTGCTTCACAAGTGCCCAGCATGGTGCATTTCTTTATTGATGATTGATAATGGTCCCAGCTCACTGTAGGCAGTGCTACCTGTTGGCCAGTTGTCCTAGGTGCCATAAGAAAGTAGACTGAGCGGCCGGGCGGTGGTGGCACACGCCTTTAATCCCAGCACTCGGGAGGCAGAGGCAGGTGGATCTCTGTGAGTTCGAGGCCAGCCTGGTCTACAGAAT